ATCAAACGTTTAGGTATGACCTTCCTAATCAAACGTTTAGATATGACCTTAATCATACGTTTAGATATGATCTTCTTAATCAAACGTTTACTTAGGACCTTCTTAATCAAACGTTTAGATTTGACCTTCTTAATCAAACGTTTAGATTGGACCTTCTTAATCAAACGTTTAGATTTGGCCGTCTTAATCAGATTTGACCTTGCTAATCAAAGGTTTAGATATGACCGTCTTAATCAAAGGTTTAGATATGACCGTTTTAATCAAAGGTTTAGATATGATCGTCTTAATCAAACGTTTAGATATGATCGTCTTAATCAAAGGTTTAGATATGACCGTCTTAATCAAAGGTTTAGATATGACCGTCTTAATCAAACGTTTAGATATGACCGTCTTAATCAAACGTTTAGATATGACCTTCCTAATCAAACGTTTAGATATGATCTTCCTAATCAGACGTTTAGATATGATCGTCTTAATCAAACGTTTAGATATGATCGTCTTAATCAAAGGTTTAGATATGACCGTCTTAATCAAAGGTTTAGATATGACCGTCTTAATCAAACGTTTAGATATGACCGTCTTAATCAAACGTTCAGATATGATCTTCCTAATCAAACGTTTAGTTATGATCTTCTAAATATGACCTTCTTAATCTACGTTTAAATATGATCTTTTTAATCAAACGTTTAGATTTGAATGTCTTAATCAGATTTGACCCACCTAATCATATTTGACCTACCTAATCAGATTTGACCTACCTAATCAAACGTTTAGATCTTCTAAATATGATCTTCTTAATCAAACGTTTAGATTTGACCGTCTTAATCAGATTTGACCGTCTTAATCAAAGGTTTAGATATGACCGTCTTAATCAAAGGTTTAGATATGATCGTCTTAATCAAACGTTTAGATATGATCTTCCTAATCAAACGTTTAGATATGATCTTCCTAATCAAACGTTTAGTTATGATCTTCTAAATATGACCTTCTTAATCTACTTTTAGATATGATCTTTTTAATCTACGTTTAGATTTGACCGTCTTAATCAGATTTGGTCTTCTGAATCAAACGTTTAGATTTGGCCTTCTTAATCAAACGTTTAGAAATGACCTTCCTAATCAAACGTTTAGATTGGACCTTCCTAATCAAACGTTTAGATATGATCTTCTAGTTATGATCTTCTTATTCAAACGTTTAGATATGATCTTCGTAATCAAACGTTTAGATTTGACCGCCTTAATCAGATTTGACCTACCTAATCAAACGTTTAGAGTTGGCCTTCTTAATCAAACGTTAAGATATGACCTTCCTAATCAAACGTTTAGATATGATCTTCTAGATATGACCTTCTTAATCAAACGTTTAGATTTGACCGTCTTAATCAGATTTGACCGTCCTGATCAAACATTTAGATATGACCTTCTTAATCAAACGTTTAGATATGACCGTCTTAATCAGATTTGGTCTTCTGAATCAAACGTTTAGATATGACCTTCTTAATCAAACGTTTAGATATGACCTTCTTAATCAAACGTTTACTTAGGACCTTCTT